AGCCTCCTTTTCTCCAGGCTAAACAACCCCAGCTCCCTCAGCCGCTCCTCATAAGACTTGTACTCCAGACCCTTCACCAGCCTCGTTGCCCTTCTCTGGACACGCTCCAGCACCTCGACGTCCTTCTTGTAGTGAGGGGCCCAAAACTGAACACAGTATTCGAGGTGCGGCCTCACCAGTGCCGAGTACAGGGGCACGATCACTCCTGCTGGCCACACTAGTTCTGAAGTACATGTTGTTGGGCATTCATCAAGTTGCTAGCCACTGGAATTGCTTAAATGGTGGTAAAAATAGGACTGGTTTGTGGTGTTTGGGGTTTTGGGGGGTTTTTTTTACTTTTAGCACTTGGAGTAGTGGGGGCCATTCTTCCATCTGTCAATGAATTTTAATCCTTTCTTACAGCAAAACTTTAATACCTTCTTACCATTTTTAGTGGATTTAAGGCTTTTTTTTCTGTTGATAAACAGAATAGAAAAGTCAACAGCTGTACTTAAGTAGATCCTTCTCATAGGTTAGACATATACTGTTTTTTGCAATCATCCTTGTTTCTGTTCTAGAACTTTAAAAAGACGACTGTGAAATATTTGCACTTTTTGTTGCTGTTTTTAATGTTAATTATGTTCTGTGGGTTTTTTTCCTAAACAACTAGTCATAAAAAATCATTAGCACTTGTCTGTTAAACATGGTGGTGATAGGTTTACTTTCTTATTCAGTGTTTTCCACTTCACAAACAACTGATAATTGGGGAAGAAATACTGACTGTTATAACCACAGATCTTATTGCTGTAGAGGACACTCAATTCTTACTTAAAATTAAGTCACTGAGGGAATAAATCTTGAATATTTCAGATTTCTTTTTAAAGTTGTGATGTTAACACAACTTAACATTCTGTTAAACTACGGAATTTTTTACATTTTATCACACCAGATATTGCAAGAGAATAGTAAAACATTCAGTTTTTAATGAAATAACAATACTCTACTTTTTAGTCAGCCTAAGAGTGTCCCAAGGCTATAGTTAAATAAACTGAAAGAAGTAAAACTTCCCTCTGCCATTTCTTGGAAAATTAACTTAAGTTTATGGAGAGCAGCATTAAATGGAGTCTTTTGTTTTCTCTGTTGAGGCCATTCATTTTCTTTATTGAGATATTTTAAGTGTGGAAAAAGTCAGCTTGAGGGCTTTATAATCTTTTTCACTGTACTTGCAATTCATTTTTCTGCACCGTTTCTCCTTAAGCAATAGATGGCTACAAATTGTTCTTTTAGCAACGTAAACGCATGGTACAGTCACTGCCTTGTCTGCTTTTAGTTTACTCTGTAATGCACTTTCACTCCTACAGTCAATAATAATCAATAATGCTAAATGCACACACAAGACAAGTTGGAAGATAAGTGGTCCAAAGGTATTTCTGTCCCTCTGCAGAACTGCTGGTTCAACTGAAAGCAGAAGATCTAAAGGGAATTTTAAAAAACAGGGAGCCCTGCTAGCAGGCATCTGTGTAATTATCCTATTAAAACAGAGTAACATCTGCATTATCTGTGCAAGTGCAGAATGGAAGGGAACATTACGTTCTCTAATCCTGTCTGGGAGCATTATGAAGTTAAAAGGATAACATTTTACCAAATCTGTGTTTTGACATGATAGGTTACACTTAATTACCTTTTAATTACCTTTCTTGTTGGGTTTTATGCTAAGGACACTGCCTCTAGCACTCATCACAGAGCTTTTCTTGCCTTTGGATTGTTTATGCCGGGTTTTATCTTTGAGTTTACCATGAAAAGATAGTCCTACTGTGTCTTGAAGGCTGTTATTACAATTCTTTTTCCTAGTGTGTGAAAAGCTCCGAGAATATTAATTTTATATACAAAAGACATGTTGTAGCATTCAGAAATACGTTTTGAATTTAGCTGCAAAGAGCAAACTCATTGGACTATGTTTTATGAATAAGGAGTAACTATGCATGGCAGAGGCCACACAGGAGCAAGAGGGAGATTATTCCAGCCTTCTGACTGCTTGCAGTGTAAGCCAGGAGAGTGCATTGGCTTAAATAATGTAGATTTCTTTTTTTCCTCTTTACCCCTGAGGGAGTCTGATTTCCTGATCACCTATCTAGCCATATGCCGTAGCTCTTGCCAGGAACTCTGAGCAGTGTCACTGCCAGCTAAAATTACTTGTTTTCTGAGAACTGAATTATGTTGAGAATTGTCTTAAATTGCTGCACTGGCAACATCACGAAGTTTTGTGTACACACACAAAAAAAAATATGTAAAAGCAGCCTTACCATGAAATTCAGTCTTAGAAACCGCTTGAAGCATTGAATTTGATCCAGATACTGAGAAGTGTTCTACACCTGCTCAGGTGCATCACTCCCGCTTTGTTCTCTTTCCAGTGCTTTTCTCAGCTTCTTTGTGCTCTGACTAGCGCAGTACAATGTTGATACATACAAATTAAACATTTACAAAGAAAGCATATTTTCTACTTCTATTTTGTACCAGTTAGAGTGAAGACCTAGTATAGCTAGTAAAAACTTCTAACATGTTGTAGTAACTATGCTGCTTTTCTTTCCTCTTGCAACAGGATGGAACTGAAATACGGATATACACTGACTAAGGAGCTGGAATAAGACTGAGTCCTGCTCTGTGATATTTATATACCTGGACCATGAACTTGCTGTTTGGCTTCATGCTTTAGGAACCTTTGTAGTAACTGCATGAAGCTGTTGGGAATCATGGCATTCTCTCCATGGAAGCTGTCCTCTCAGAAACTCGGCTTTTTTCTGGTGACTTTTGGTTTCATTTGGGGAATGATGCTTCTGCATTTTACTATTCAGCAGCAAACACAACACGAAAGCAGTTCACTCCTGCGTGAGCAAATTTTGGATCTCAGCAAAAGATACATCAAAGCATTAGCCGAAGAAAATAAAAATGTGGTTGATGGGCCTTATGTTGGGACAGTGACAGCGTACGGTGAGTGTGTGCTCTAGATTACATGATAATCTGATTAAGATTTTTTCTAAGTTGTCCAAACATTTTACTTCATAATGCTGCTCAATTGACAGTACTTTGCACTGTGGATTTTCTGCACAGATGGAGAAAACAGTCTTCACTTAGAAGTATGAAATGGGACAAATTTTACATTTCCAGTCACTTGGAGATGAAGTTGTCTGCTAATTTTTACTACATCTGTCTAGTAGCTATATCTGGTTGTTTGTTAAAACTTCATTTAAAAAAACCTTTTTTGCTGTTTTTGAGAATCTTGAGAGGCTTTTCAGTTTGCATGTCAGTGACCTAAAAAATTCCTTCTGAAAGAAGCGCTTGCCTTACTGATAAAGTGGACACCTGCTACGTTTATTTCTTCTTCTTTCCCATTTCACTTCTTTGTTCAGTCAATTTACTTAACGTTTAAATTTATGTATCTGGCATAAGATTAAATTAAGCTCAAATATATTATCTTTGCCTCAGGGTAGAGAACACTTTTTGTGAGTTTCAGTGCTTTGTTCGGCAGTAAGTTTTAATGCTTACTCTCTTCCATTTTGTACAACATGAGAGTTAAGTTTGTGTGAGAGAAAGCATGCGGAAAAGAATGAAGCATATTGCCAGAAAATATTATGAAAATAAAAATACCCAATTTCAGATTAGGTGTGGCCCCTTTTCAATCTGGTAAGATCACATCATACACCTTACTTGTTTAGCATTTTTTAAACTCACTTTCCTACTTACCTATGCACTTTCAGGCTATCTGGAAAGTTAAGGGCTAATTAGTCATCTAGATTTGTTTCCTTTTATAATTGCTTTAATATTCAGCTCTGAAGAAATTGGATAGATGTCTTTTGTAGGCTTAGACAAAGAATAAAGACTGGGATGCGACAGGTAATGGCTACACTTTTTCCTCTAGTTTTCTTCTTAATACTCTTTACTTTTTGGTGCATGTAAATGAAAATATCCTGCTGGGAGATTCTCTCCATATCTTGTTTCTGTTACCACTTTTTTCCTCTAAAAAAAGAACTTCTGAGTTTGTGTGAAGGTGCTTGCCTGTAAGGCTGAGATTATCATCCCAAACATAGCTGACAATTACTTTGCTTTGTTGCTTAAATAACAAGCCATCCTTATTCTGTAACTTCTACTGATTTGTGACTGCATGTTGAACTATACTGTACATCTTACAAAGCAACACAAGCTAAATACAGAGTGGTACTAGATCAATACTTAGACTGAAGACCTAAAAGCAAGTAGAGGCCCCTAGAGAATTGTCTTCGTAGGCTTAAAACAAAACCCTGTCAGTTATATAGCCATCATCGGTGTCCCATTATCTTGTAAGGGTGCTTGATGGTAGGTGAATTGAAGAAGAAAAAAAAACACAGAAAACAATATGCCTCCAGAAATTGAAGGGTAACTGCATTAATCTGTGCCCTAGCTAGGTCTGAGAGTACAGGATATCCTTAAGCTAAGATCCCCCTGCAGCTTGTTGCCTGTGGCATTCATTTCCTGTTCCAGATCCTGCTGAGGAATAAGTTGACTTGCTGCCAAACAGTGGTCAAGTTCCCCAGGAGAAGTTAAACTGCATTTGAAAGTGGGTGAAATAACTTTGTTAGCGCTTCTGTGAAGGTAAAGCTAAGTTTTGTGTAGAAATTTCAAGTTCCATGGTTAAGAAGAATTTTAAGTTTAAAGAGAACTTTGGACAGGTGTTTTCAATTAAGGAGTTTGGAAGGATGCGTAATAATGGTAACATATTTATTTAAAATATTAGAGGGAAAGGTGCTATGGTGAGTGAATAACACCATATTAAATAATACTTTATGAAACTGAGTAAGATAATAGTTATTAAATAAGTAAGTTAGTTTGTCCTGTCTGGCATACCAAATGATTCGTTGATAGCAAATGATCAGGTTAGCTGTTCAGGAATAAACACATTAATGACTAATGTTAATGATAATGGGTAGAAGATGGTTCACTATTCTATGAAAATTAACGCCCTTGCTATTTAGCCTTTTTATTTCTTTTAATCTTATCCTCTGATTGCTTTTAATGAGCACAGTCATGATTTCCATGTTCAAGAACAAGTTTTAAGTTTGCTTGATTTGGCTGCTTTTACCCACCCAAAAGGTTTTCAGTCATTCCTTAATCGCGATTGCACAGCTTGTTCGCTTTGTCGCTTTTTCTTTCTACCGTATATTGACCTGTCAGGTAGGTGGATCAAACACTTTCCTTTTAAAAGTTGTAGTCCAAATATACACAGTATTAGATTTTTATAGCAGTAAACAGTTGTTTTACAAAAATTATTATGAATCTGTGTTTCTGCCCTCCCCTTCTCAAACTAGCCTTCCAATTGCTTTTTTGTTCTGGTAAGCAGTGTCTTTCATCCGTGTTTTGGTATCAGTATTAAAAAAATTACAATGTTTAGCCATTTTTCTCTTTAAGCTCTGTGTATGCCTTTATGTATGCTATGTTTCTTCCTCATTGTTTCCTGAACTATTTTTTTTACTACCTTTTTTCCTAGATTTTTTTTTTCCTCCTTCTGTACCATGGTTTCTTCTGCACGCTATACCATTAAAGTGACTTCTGGACACCTTTTACGATAGTCCAGGTCATTAGTGCTTAAGATTCCATCTTCTGATCTTTAAAGGGCAAAGGAAAATACACAGTTATAAAGAAAAAGATCTACCTTATGGCTCCATGGAGTAAATACAACTCTCCTTTTATTTGGAAAAAAAAAATCATAAGCTTGCTAAAAGTAATAGCCTTTTCTTATTTACTCTCTCATTTGCACAAGAATTGGGCTAGTTGTGGAAAAAATAATAAAGGGAGCACAAAATAGTGTGGCAAAAATACAACTGATGTTGGGGCAGAGGAATCTTCAGATGTATGGAGAAATTTTCTGTTACAGATCAGAAACTTATTTGACTCTAAAGTTGTGGAAAGCAGAAAATGTATTATACATATGCACATGTAATTATTTTATGTAATTAAATGGGAAAATAATGTAAATTCATCATACCAAATTCTTTAATCCTGAGACAAGGGTAAATGAACAAAGAACAATACTTTCTTTCATCATCTTTGGCTTGTTGCCACTATAATTATGCCATTTAGTCTGATAGTGGTCTGTTTTACCCCTCTTGCCCACAGTTCTTTTAGCTTGCCCAACTGTCTGTGTTACTTCAAGAAATCTGAACAAAAGAAAAAGGAAAGAAAAAATATCGGAGAACTCTTTCTGGGTTGTCATTTGATATACAAACTCCTGTTACTGCATGTAGCTTTCCACGCGAACGAAGTGCTGTGTCAGACTAAATAGATAGGTAGAGGCAATAACCAACAGACGGAAGAAAAGAAACAGGTGATTTATGGTGGTTTGTGTATACGACAGAAAGGTTGAACTTAACATTTTTTTTGCCAATGCAGAACCTGGTTGTGGTGGAGGAGATGCAGGAGAAGGTTTTTGTACTGGCTCAAAGGTGTCCCTTCTTTCGGGAAGGGGATTTTTGTTTCCAGGTGACTGAGCATCTAACAGACTGTTCCTCTGACAGTGCTTGAATATGGATTTAGGTTTAGATTCATTATTATTCAAGCAACTTCTTATTACTTGAGCTATTACAAAGCATGCATTTTTTTGTTCCCATGTGTGTACCCATAAAGGCGCACACTTCACCTTGAATGTAGGATATGTATATGAGTTGCAGTGTGCTTTATGAAATACGCAGGAAGACAAGTTCCACGTCCAGGGAAACTTGTATCTGAGACTGAACAAAGTAGGGAACGTTAGTGCATAAAACTGCTAATGACAAAGATTTGCATTGAGAAAGTGTCTATATATATTCCAGTCTCATTCTTGTATCTATTTTTTGATTCTGTCTGACAGTGTGCATTGCATAATTAAGCAATTTAACTTTTCATTTTCGTTTGTAGATTTGAAGAAGACACTTGCTGTCTTGTTGGATAATATCTTGCAGCGCATTGGGAAGCTAGAGTCCAAGGTAGAAAATCTTGTACTTAATGGAACAGGAGCAAATTCTACCAACAATACTACCACTCCTGCTCCCAGCTTAGGAGCAGTCGAAAAGCTTAATGTAGCAGGTGGGTATAGCAATTGTTTAAAATACTTATGGGCTGTTTAATCTGTATTTTTCTGTCTTGGCCATAACATGATTTTTCAGTGTTAGATATTTGAAATGTCTTAGAAAACAAAATTCAACGTCTAGCCTGTATCAATGGCAATCTTAAGTCCAGTGTGGTCTTTTACAAGCTCAGAGGAAGACTTTCTTCTATGGTAACTTGAACAAATTGAAGAAAATCAAATTCTCTGCCAAAGGGGTATAGTCTACCTTGTTCACAGTAGAATTTTCATACTTTAAATGGTTGCACTTCAGAAAGATAAAACTGGGCAGACGTTTTCTCTCTAAGCCTAATTACTTGGGTTAGTATGAATCTGCTCTGCATTTCTACCATATGCATTTTTTCGGTTATTAACGGAAAGAAAACATTTATTATGTTTGTTACTGGTTCCAATTTAAAAATGTCCTTCCCTACTCTGCTTAATAGGTCTTATGATTTGATGCACAGAGATGACCTGCCTGGTACCTTCAGCTTAAATAAATACATGTTTTAAAACGTCATTTGAAGTCATTAATTTTGTCTTCTGTGAATGGACTGTTTGCTACCCTTACAGCTTCTCAAAGCATTTGAGTCGTCCTGTGGTGGTAGAGTGCCTTGCTGGCCTCTTCGCCTGCACATTTCAGTTTCTTTAGTGTTCCTAGCTGTGAATGTGGTTGGTACAATGAATAAATCTTGTTTATACTGCCTCATGTATTGACCTGCATTTTGCTCTGCCACCAAGTCTAAACAGATACTGGCTGTCCTGACCCATAGGAAGGTCTGAGTCTGCCCTGCTAAAGATCTTTGTAGTCCCAAAAAGGGAGCAGAGCAGAAGAGTTAGGGCAACTTGGTAAACGGGTTGATAGCTGTGCTCCTAAGTCTTGCCTGTGCTTGGGTTTCCTATAAAAATAAATACTTCTGTTGAGAGGGTGTTACCCTCTTAAATTTGCCAAAAAAGAGAAGCAGATGCTACCTTTGGTAGCGTAATACCACTGAAAGGAAGTCTGGGAGAGCAGATGTACAAGTGATCACCTGAGTACAGTATACCAGCAGAGTTGCTGTGTCAGCTGCTCTGTCCTAACTGCGTTTGTCTGTACCAGGATGTTAAAGGCATATTATTTCTTGGTGAGACAGACCTTTGTGTCTCTCTTGCCACATAATAAAAATATGCTTATAAGCATTTACAACAGCCCTCTGCATGTGTGGTTTACTACTGCTTGCCTTATGGTACCTTTTTTTTCCCCTGTGTCTCTCGTCTTGGTTAGACTGAAGGCAGATTAGAAACTAGTAACTGAAGAGGTATAGCACCTGCAGACTACTAATAGGGTGAGCCATGTTGCTACCACAAGGAATACAACACAAGATCTTTGTTGGAAGATCTTCTGCTTCAATGGAAAGTGAGCTAGTACAGTATTGTTATAGTTTCTGAGCTATATATAAAATGAAAAACATCCCTGTATATTTTCTTTCCGTAGCTGGACAAAAGAGAGACTTGATGCTGTTATTTCAATAGATTCACAGATAATTGGAAGAAGAATACTCATGTTGTTGCTTATACATTTATAGGCAAAGGATCATTGTTCTTATCTGACTAGGAAACATCTCTTATCAGTTCTTAGGGTGACTTGAATTTTGTTTGTTGTTCTTGGAGTTTGCTAGATTCACAATTTTAGTACTTGCGAGCAATGGTTAAGGAGCTTGGTAGGAGTTTTCAGTTTGTGGTGTTTACATAGCTTTTTTGCTGCCTGAGTCTTGCTCTGTGGCAAAGAACACTTTGTCTTATTAGAGCTTCAGTTTCTAACCTTTGCCTCTTGGTACGCTAAGTTTAAAATACCTGAAGCAACTATATTAAACAGCAACAACAGAAAAACATTTAGGAAACAGTTTCTTAAGGTTTGATTAATGTATGGTTCTGGTGCCTGTTTGGATAATGTTACTGTTCGAGTATCTCCAGGCTGGATAGTTCCAATGGGTAGAATAGAGCTCGAAGCTAATCCTTGTGTTAAAGTGCCTATTATTTATCCATTTGGAGCAATCAGTGGAAATTCATCTGATCAGAGGCAGCCAAACAGAGATGAAAAACTTGTTTCTACTACTGTCTTCATAGCCGTTTCCTGACAGTAGCGAACTCTGGAAGCCATATGATTCCAGTAAAATCATAATATAAACATCTTCTCTGTTAGGAAGGAATTGTTCAGAAAATAAGCTAGGTGAGTAAACATTGTGATTACAATACCAGCTACAGTGTTGGTTTTGTCTGTAATATTTCAACAGCATATTCAATATTGTTTTTATTGTGCTAGAGCAATTGAGATAATCTGAAAATTGTTGTAGAGAAGCCATTTTGTTACCCAACAGTTTGTCATTTTACTGGAGCTGAAACATGTATGTATAAAAATACATGATACTTCCATTATTTTCTTTATAATAGTTTATTCAGCTGTTACGCTATGAAGTGATCACAGAAAGCAAACATGTTAGGATTACTGTTTCTCTCTTTATCAGCTGTGATATTTCAGTGCTGACTTGAGACAAATTCATGTTAGCTGTTGTTAGTAATTTCACTCTTCCTGTCTGGACAGCCTTAGTATTTGTGGAGCATCCTAACAACATCATGTTTAATATTTTTAGTAACGTTTTTTAAATGCTTCTTGAGTTTATTTTTTTGCAAATCTTTTTTGCCTCGGAGTCACTGCTTGAAACTCTGAAGTAAATTAAGCATTTTATAGCCTCATTCATCAGTGCAACAGTGCAGTGTCATTAGCAGACTTTCCTAGAAGAGTCCTGCTTCCAGTGGAGCTACTTCATGCATTTATTATTTTTGGTTTGCGCTGTCACAGTACACTGAGACCTGATTCTGTAATCTGTGTAACCATGTCTCTTTACCTATGGAAAGCCTTTACGAAATAAATTTAGCTTCATGCAGGCTTAAGCTGCACCTTAGCATCTATTGACGCTGCTTGTAAACCTTGGTAGTAAATAGTGGAGACACTAATCATTCTGAAATCTGCATTTTGTCCTCTCTAACCTTGTGTAAAGTTTACTGTGTGTTATATACTACCTGAGTAGATACAAGTGATAAAATAAGACATAACAGAATGGCAGGAAGGTGCTTATACTGTAAATATTTGTCCTTATTGCTGATTATGACTGGACACAAACTCAAGAGCAAAAAATAATATTTTTCTTAAAATTTAAAACTGACTATCATGGCAGGCTACACTTGTCAATCTGAATGTGCTATGAGCTTTTCTTCATTGTGTATTTTAAATATTAGTAACACTTTCATGGGAAAAAAAAATAGTATTCTCTTATCTGCAAACTAGGAAGAACAGAGATGATGATGATTAGTCAACATTTCTCCTCCCAAAGCCTCTCTGTAAGTGGAATTTTCTTTTATTAGGTACATTGCTGTATATAGAAAGCAGTCCTAAGAACAGTATCCCTACACTACAGGTGGATCGTGATGATGCAAGAATCCTGGTTTAGTTACAGTGTTGAGTTACTGAAATCAGTTCAGGTTATGGTTTTATCTGACTTTATTAAACACAACTGGTATGTGACCATGACTCAGATTTACGGATTGAAAAGGTCTTTTCTTTGAGATTAAGGACACTGGCAATTGGACCAGATACGGATTTAAAAAAAAAATTTCCGCTCCTGTCCACCTTTTCTGTATAGACAACTAGAATAATAGCATAAAAAGGGAATATTTATAGTATTAGAATGTATGGAAGTTTTCTTCGGTTCATATATACATTGTTTTTAGCTTAGCTCAGATACGAGTGTGAGTGTGACTATGTAAGTAATCCAGGTAACAATGAAGAGAATGTATGTTGAGAAATAATTGTCAGTTGCAAATTGGTTGAAAAATCAAATGGTTTAAAATGCTGACATTTCTCAATGAACCGAGGTCAGAGGGTATTTAATTTTTGCCCAATATACATCTTGATGGCAAAATGTCTGTTGGTCCAGCAAAGTTCTTTCTTGTAATTAATAAACTTGCAAGATTACTTCTTCTAATGCTCTACATTTGAGCTAAAACCACCTTCGGTTACCACAGTCCCTTGATATTGCAACACGGAATCTACCATCGTTCTTTCTAATGAAGAAAAAAAAAATCTTCTATGTACTTTTTGATATTTTTAATATTCTTTTGGGGACGTAGATATCTAGACTTTGAGAGTGGTCACTGCAGCTGCCTGGGCAAATAAATTTGAGTAGTTCATGTTCCCCTAAGGAACAGATCTGCTCTGTGCTAGTGGGCAGCAGTTGCCTTTAACTCGATGGCAGTGTTAATAAAGGAATACACAGCCTTTGCAGCCTTACAGATGTAAAAGCAGATGAAGAATTTCCTCTGAACCGTATGGATGAGAAAAGACCTAATAATAATGAGTTTTGTAGCTCCTTTTAAAACAACTGTAACTACTGTTTGTAGTCAGGATGTCATTTGAAGGGCTACCAAGTGTCTTCTAAAACTTTTATCAGCAACTTCTGTAGGTTTTCATGGTGAATAAATGATAGGACCAGTACCAGAAAGATGAAGTAGGACGGTTTCTTGAGGAAAAGAAAAAACATTAGGGAAGTACCTGGCTGTCAAAGATTTAAAAAAAAAAACAACAGTGTTCAACAAAACAGAATGTAGTCCAACTGTGGAAGGTGTTAGGCAATGTGAGTCGCAAAGTCTGGGGAGGTCCAGATAGGCATTGGACCGGGAAGTGTTATAACCTGGAGTATTATGCTAAGATAATCCATTATAAATTACTTCATGAAGGAATGAGCAATACCCTCTCCGAAAGAGCCTGTCAGCAAAGGAAAAAGGAGGCACTGGCATCAGAAATAATCAAACTGTTTAGCAGTTTGGAAAAAATATCTATTTTTATTTTAGGTTTATTAATACAGCCAGAAGTTGAATAATCTCTGGCCAAACACTAGCTATCATGGCTATTTATGCCTTGTAACAGCCTAATAGAAATGTTTGT